CATAGAAAGAACATGCATCTTCCTGGAGCTTAGCACAATCATGTTCAGTAACTATTTCTCGATAAATTTTTATATCGTCAGCATATTGCAGGAATGAAGAATTTAAAACAACAGCGAAAGAGACGTCATTTACGAAAATTGTGAACAGAAGGGGTCCTAAAACAGATCCCTGAGGAACGCCAGTGTAACGAAGAGTTCATGTTGTTGACACGGACATACGCCTCTCTCTCTGATAAGTAGCTTTTTAAGCAGTAATGTACTGAGCCACATACTCCATAGGAGGAAAGTCTGGATAAAAGAATAATGTGATTTACTACGTCAAAAGCCTTACTTAAGTCAAAGTAGACAACGTCTAACCGACCTCTGTGACGTATTACACGAGATGCAGCAGACATAAAGCTAACAAGATTGGTAGTAGTTGATCTGCCGCTCATAAAACCATGCATAAAACCATAATAATAATAATAATAGTAATAATAATAATAATAATAATATTTAGTAGGCAGGAATTCAGAAACACAGTACAAATACGGGGCTGTCCAAGCCACAATGGGCTTGTGGGACAGGACCCGGCAAGTCGGACGACGAAAAAAATCAAGTGGCTAGTAAAAAGAGATGAAGAAATAAACAATAGGTAACATTTCGACAACACAGGGGGCACAAAGTACTAGAAGCAAATTTTGGGTAATCGCGCTAAATTGTTAGATTGGCCCACAATGTTTTTAACTTTCTCCTTGTATTGGCGTTGATGACACTCTCCGGAAGTTTTTTGAAAACGAAGGATACGTAATAAGGCCGAACTCTTTTGCCGTAACGCGTAACACAAGAGGGGGTAATAAATCGTGGTGTGCAGCGAAGACTCCTTTGATGTACAGAGGGGTGCTTAAAGTCATTAGTCCAGAAATGTCGCAGCACAACAGTTTGCAAAAAAAGAGAAGAAAAATTTGGCATCTGTAGAAATTTGGAAACATTAATATCAGGTGGAAAATCCATCTGATATCCTACGCTCTTCAACATAGCCTTTAACATAGGGTCAATTTTAATTTGCCACAGTTGCGCCCAATTCCCGAACACCGTAATGCCATACCTAACTAAGCTATAGCCAAGGGCATGTGCAATTGACTTCCTCATGAAAAATGGCATGAAAACTCTATTATTAAAAAGTATACAACTAACGCTCCCAAGCTTCCCACAAACAGACGACAAGTGCGAGTTCAACGACATGTCGGAGTCAAATAACACCCCTACATATTTAACATGATCAACATACTCGAGATGAGGACACTCACAGTCAAGGCAACTCGAACAGTGTAATGCTACTGGCAAGTCAAGGTTCACTTTTTTTAGCGGGTTTCAAAAGCAAACCAATTTTGTTTTCGATGCATTGATTGTAAATAAATTCTCGCCGAACCAGTCCATTATTCGCTTCGCGTCATCCTGCAATAGCCGTACGGCAATATCATATCTAAGATGACGGGATACCAGTGCAGTGTCGTCTGCATATTGAAAGATGGCACCCCTTACAGAAATGTCATGTATGGCCCAGATATGTTTAATATAGGGCCGTATATGGGCATATAAGTAGGCATATAAGGTCATATATTGCCATATAAGGGCTGAAATCAGGGCAGATATGGTAAGATGACACCATATATGACGACATATAATGCCATATAAAGTCATATATAGTGCCAGTGGCTGCCCTATATAACAGTATAGGATGCCTGATACTCCTGTATATGGCACTATATGGTGCCAGTCAACATGTTGATGCAGGTAGCACTCCGCGTCGGCCGGTATCGGGACATCAGGACTACGCCGGCCCGCCCATGGTAACAGGATGGCAGCGCCTGGCCATGGGCACCGGGGAGCTACTGGCCCCGACCGGCGTCGGGGTTTCGTCTTGCTCATTGGCCAGTCCAGCCGTAGAAGTTACAGTGACTGGCCGGCATCGGGTTTTTGCTGTCTTGCTGGCTAGTCTTTCCATGGAGGTTCCAGTAACTGGCCGGCATGGGTATTTTGCTGTCTTTGATGGCCGGTATTTACGGAAGTTCAGTAAGTGGCCGGCACCGGTAATTTGCCGTCTTTGATGGCCAGTATTAACATGGAAGTTCAGTGACTGGCCGGCATCGGCGCTTTGGTGTTCGCAGGCTGACGAGCCCCGGGAACTTCCGTTTACTGACCGGCATCGTTCTATTTTTTTTTTGCGTTTTTCACTATGCAGTCACGTCATTGAGATTCCGACGAACTGCGGTGATTCATATGTAGCGAGTGGAAATTCTTGCGTTGATCAATCCTTCGTAAATGACTGCCGACGCTGGCGTATTTGATCCCACCATGGCAAGTCTGACGTGTTTTATCGCGAAAACGCGAAAGAAAAAACAATGCCGTGAGGAAATTTGCAGTCCAGGATTTGAAAATCTGACCCCCTACGCCACGAAAATTAAATTTTACAACGCCGAACGACACTTTTTTTCAGGAAGTTAGTTTAATTTGATGTACTATACTTAAGGTCTGGCGTTATAAACACGTGTTTGGCTCTGATAAAAAATAAAAACGGTATAGCGGAGCCTCGAATAAAAAAAGAAAAAAGACGTGGCATGATTGAGCACGCGCTTTAATAATATAATAATAATAATAATAATAATCCTTTATTTGTATAATGCCCCAGAACAACCTATTGGTTACAGTGTGGTGGCACATAAAAAGTTTAAAAAGAAAAAAAGAACACCTAAAACAGTACACAATCTCAAGCCCCCCCCCCCCCCCCCCCCCCGACATATGCTCTCGAAATTAAAACATTTCACAATCATAAACCAAAAATATGCATATCAAGTAGTCGTTTGAACGCAGCGAAATTTAAAAATATGTCTACATGAGTCGGAAATTCATTTAAACAAATTTGCATTCTAGCCAAAGGAGACGGTCTCGTTTGGATAGATCTATAAAACACGCTTGAGTTTCTAACGACTCGGGCCGGTACATGAAAGTTCAAAGACGACACAAGATTGCTATCAATTTGGCCGTGAACCACTTTGTATAAAAATATAATGTCACGAGCAATCCTTCTTTTTGAAAGGTTCTGGAGTGAAAGTTCTTTAAGAAGGTATTCATAATCAAAATAACATTTTCTATCAAAATATCTATCGTAAACAAGGCGTATAAATCGCTTTTGAACTCTTTCTATCCGTGCAGCGTCGGTCATTGTTAGCGAATTCCACACTGAACTACGAAACTCAAGTTTAACTCGTACAAGGGAACAAAACAATCGAACTACGCACATTATATTTGAAAAATCATGCGTCAAACGTGATATCATCCCCATTGTTCTAAAGGCAGAAGCAACAATTTGTGTAACATGATATGAAAAGGTAAGATTACTATCGAAATAAACACCAAGGTCACGAGCTTGTTCCACACGTTCAATAGTAGAATTGCCGATAAAATATTGATGTAAAATTCTTTCGCGTTTTCTGCACATAGATAGCACTTTAGTTTTATCTGGATTGACCAGCAAAAAGTTACATGAGCACCAGTTTGAGATACGGGATACATCTTCTTGCAAAAGAGCACAATCATCTTCCGAATGGATACTAAGATAAAGCTTAATATCGTCCGCAAATAAGAGCAGTTTCGCATTTTGTATGCACAATTCTATATCACTGATGAATATAAGAAAAAGTAGCGGCCCCAAATTCGATCCCTGAGGGACTCCCGAAGTTGGAGTAAATACATCTGAGAAACTATTCAAGATTCTTATTCTACTCTTTCTATCCGACAGATAACTACGGAATAAGTTTAAAAGAGACGACGAAACGCCGTATAAAGAGAGCTTATACAAGAGTAAGTCATGATTAACCTTATCGAAGGCTTTTGATAAGTCAAAATACACAATATCAACTTGCCCACGTGTAAGAACAAATGGGACAGTATAATCAAGGAGAGAACAAAGGTTCGTTTCTACTGAACGCCCTTTTATAAATCCATGCTGAACGGTGCTTAGTTTTCGACAAAAGTAAAAAGAAAGACGGGCATGTAAAACTATCTCAAAAACCTTTGAAAAAGAACACAACAAAGACACGGGGCGGTAGTTATCTACCCTAGACGCGTCACCGGCTTTGTGTATTGGCACTATCACTGACCTTTTCCAAAGACATGGGAAAACACCATTTCTCAGCGATAGGTTAAATATGTGCATAAGTAAAGGGGCAAACAAATCAGCGCATCCTTTAATAATAAAGTTAGGTATTGTATCATCTCCCGCTGACTTCTTCGGTTTTAATTTTTTAATTGCCTCTAAAATATCATTTATGTCGACCTCACTGTATCAGCGCGAGAAGAAGGTTCGCACAGCGGGAGGTCAACTAGGGCTAGCCTTTTATTATGGCGCCTCCGTGATCTGCCCGGGCACGAGCTCGCCCGGCACGAGCTTGGTTCACTGGTGGAGCACGCTCCCGTTACACCTTCCTTTTTCTTTCTTTTTTTTTTCTTTAACACACACGAGCGAAGTCGAAGTAACAAACGAACAAACAAAATTAACAAACAGCACCCACTAGGAGAGTTGATTGAAATGGGCATCGTAGCGAAGCCGCTGAGGAAGACGCCGCATCCGTGTCGAGGCTCGCGTTGGTGCCCGGATGCCAATGACCCGTGGAGCGACTGCGGCTGCACCAATTGCGGGTGGTGGGCTTTGTGAGTCAGATGTGCCCGGAAGGTTCCTAGATGGTTGCGGCGAGGTCAACATGGGTTCGTCGTTGTCGTCGGGCTGAGGGTCAGGGACAAAGACTTCGGGCGTTGCGATGAGGTGTTGCCGGTTGCGACGCAGCTCTCTCCCGTCCTCTGTTACGACCCTGTAGGACCTTGGTGCCACCTTTTTTTGAACTTTGGCCTTGGTTGGCCACCCCTTTCTGTCCCTTATGCGGACAACATCCCCTGACTGGAGTGGTGGTAGGTGCCTCGTTGATCGGAGCTGCTGACGCTTTTTCACATGGTCTGCGGGCTCCACGGTGAAGTCAGGGACCAGCGACCTAATGCGTCGTCCCATTAGCAGCTCACTGGGCGATCTTCCATCCTCCAAGGGTGACGATCTGTAGTTGAGGAGACCTAGGTAGAAATCTCCGTTTGAGTGACAGGATTTTCTTAAAATTCTCTTGATTATCTGAACTCCATTTTCCGCGAGACCGTTTGATTGCGGAAAATACGGACTGGAGGTGACATGCCGAAAATCGTACCGCCTAGCAAAATCCCGGAACTCTTTTGAGGAGAACTGGGGGCCGTTGTCACTGCATAACTCTAGCGGAATCCCATGTCTCGCGAAAATTCCCGCGAGCTTGTGGACTACTGCAGCTGTGGTGGAGTTGTCTAGAGGCTCTACTTCAGGATAATTTGAGTACGCGTCAAACGCAATGAGGTACGTTTTTCCAGCGTACTCGCACAAATCGGCGCCAACTCGGGACCAGGGCTGAGACGGTGTCTGCCTCATTAATAGGGGCTCTGCTGGCTGCTGATACGCAAACTGCTTGCATGTAGCACACTTTCTAATCATGTCCTGAATCTCAGATGTCATGCCCGGCCAAAACATCAAAAGCCGCGCTTTGGCTTTACACTTGTTGCTGCCCAAGTGCCCTTCATGAAGCCTCTTCAGCATCTCTAGGCGGAGACTCTTCGGTATCACTACCTTAGCACCTTTGAAGAGCATGCCGTCAATCACCGACAACTCAGAAGAATATGCCTTAAAGTCTCCTACCACCGGCCAGTTGTTTTGAACAGACTTGACCACAGTGCCCAACACCGCATCGTTCGCTGTTTCCTGTCTGAGCCTCGTGGACGTTGCCTCACTCACCAAGCTTGAGAGGACGGAGATTGCGTGAACCTCCACGTCATTGTGCGGTGCCCCCTTTTGGCTGCCTGGTAACGGTGCCCGTGAGAGCGCATCTGCCAGGACAAGCTGTTTGCCAGGGACGAACTGGAAGCAATAGTCATACTTCATTAGTCGGATAAAAAAACGTTGAAGACGGGGCGGCATGTCGCCAAGAGATTTCTTAGAGATGGCGATTAGGGGCTGATGGTCTGTTTCTAGAGTTATTCTCCTGCCGTAGATGAAGTCATGGAACTTTTCACACCCGTAAACAGTTCCAAGTGTTTCCTTTTCTATTTGGGAGTACCTTGACTCACACTCGGTGAGCACTCTAGAGCCGTAAGCTACTGGACGCCAGTTGGCCCCATGTAGTTGAAACAACGCTGCACCAAGGCCGTACCTTGATGCGTCTGTAGACACCTTGGTATCCCGCGTGGGATCGTAGATCGCCAGCAGTGGCGCGTTTGTTAGCACCACTTTGAGGTCGTGCCATTCTTGTGCGTGGTGTGGCTCCCAGACGAAAGGCACGTCGTCCCTCATAAGATTTCGGAGCAGCTTCGTCTTCTCCGTGCAGCAAGGTATGTACTTGCTGAAATATGTGACAATTCCAAGGATTCGCTGAACCTCTTTTTTAGTAGTCGGAGCTGGCATCTGCACAACACTCTCGACTAAACAGGGGTCAGGCCTAATCCCTGCCTTGCTTATTCGATCTCCCAAATAAGTGATTTCGCTCACTCCGAACTGGCACTTCCCAGCATTCAGGGTAATGCCACTCTTGCGCGCAGCTTCGAGAGCATTACGCAGCCGCTCGTCATGTTCCGCTTTGTTGGTTCCCCAAATTAACACGTCATCTATGTACACACGTACGCCTGGAAGACCGTCGAATATCTGAGTCATCGCTTTCTGAAAAACTTCCGGCGCTGATGCTATGCCGAACGGTAATCGCAAAAAGCGATAACGACCGAAAGGCGTACTGAATGTGCAGATTCGCGATGTTGCGTCTTCCAGCGGTATTTGATTGAAGCCCGCGTTGGCATCAAGTCTCGAAAAGACACTCGCGTTTGCCAACTCTGCCTCGATGTCTTCTCTTTTAGGCATTTGGAAATGTTCCCTCTTCAGGCTCTCATTGACGTTCCTAGGGTCCATGCACACTCGCAATTTTCCATCTTTTTTGCGTACAATAACAAGTGGGCTTACCCAGTCTGATGGCTCGTCCACCTTTGTGATGATTCGAGCAGTTTCCATGCGCTCGAGTTCGTTCTTCAGCGGCTCTCTCAGAAGGTGGGGCACCCTGCGTGCTGCTTGGATGACTGGCTCGGATCCGGGCTTGAGTACCATCTTGTACTTTTTGTTGATGCACCCGAGTCCGTCGAAGAGTTCTGGGAAGGTCTCAATTATGTCCTTTGGCACACAAGCCGACACATCGTCAACGCGGTTCACGGCCCGGGCACGAGCTCGCCCGGCACGAGCTTGGTTCACTGGTGGAGCACGCTCCCGTTACACTCACTAAATGTGAAATTGTTGTTGCAACCAGTAGCGCAGATTGAAGACTTGCTTTTGAATTCTTACTTGGAATAGCATTCACGAAAGTAAGTTTGGAATAAATTAGCTACTTTTTCAGGGTTTGTAACGTAGTCCGTATCAGTACGTAAATAAATATTTCTTGCAGACTCTTTCGTGTGCTTCCTGACAAATCGCCAGAATTTATCAGGCTCGCGGTAGAGACTATTTTCTACCGATTTTTTATAAATGAATTTGTCGTGTTTAAACAGTTTCTTTACAAGTGCTCTGTAAACACTGAACTTTATGTACCATAACTCAATGCCGGTTCTTTTAAACAATTTATGATAGTGTTCTTTTTTACGCATGTAGTGTTTCAGCTCCCTTGAGAACCAGAACTGGTATTTAGAGGGCTTAGACAATCGCTTTGGAATGAACGCATCGATTGCATTTTTCACTATCTTCGTCAAGGATTCAGTCGCAGAATCTACGCAGTTATCATGAAGATCCGTTGACCAGTTATTATCACGAAGGAACGTATATAAACCTAAATAATTACCCTTATGATAGTCATATCTGGTAAAATTTTGTCTGTCACGAGACCTCACCGGCAAAGAAAAACATGCGATGAAGGGCGGGTGAAAAACGTCAGGTTTCACAAGAGTATCGCTAACTGGTATGACACTGTCTATAGGGCAGTTTGAAAGAAAAAGATCAAGAACATTCCCGGCCGTGTTCGTGAACTGATTATGCTGAGTTAGACCATTAAAATTAATGAAATCTACTAGACGTGACACTTTTACCACCGTTTGATTATTCCCACTACTGCTTATGCCGGTCGACCAGTTCACCCCTGGTAGATTAAAATCGCCGTACATATGTACTTCAAATTTCGAAAAATCAATTTGCTGTTCAAGCTTTTGTAAATGGTTTACGAACACACTCGAATCCGAGAGCGGAGGAAAATAATAGTTTCCGACGAGGTAATTAAAACCATCGCGTGTTAATAATTCAACCCATACGCACTCTGCATAGGTTTCCAAATCTACCCTTCTGCATGATTTAATGTTATCCCGCACGGCTGTCAACACCCCCCGCCAAATTTCTTCCCGGTTGCACGGTAATCCCTGTCCCTTCGATAAACACTGTATGATGTTGGAAAGTAACTGGTGCTGGAAGTTTCTTTCAATAGCCAAGTTTCAGTTAAACAGAACATGTCAAAATTAGTGGAAACAATAGTTGACATACAGTCATCTGCTTTCGTCCTCAAACCGCGAGTGTTCTGATAATAGCATTTAATCTGTTGTTTAGTCATCAGTACTATTTGGTAGTGACGTTCGCGTCATATCAAGCTTTCCAAAAAACTGGTGAAAGATACACCCCTCGGGCCAAATGTCTGGGTTATTAATGGTTTCAAAAAGGTCTTGTTCGACCGAAACATGAAAAGAAGAGTAAGAGGGAAATTTTGTTTTCAGCTTCGTGCAGCTAACAGTTTTCCCCCGTAGGACAGGTTCAAGAAGCGAATTAACATCCTCAACTGTTGTCTCGGGGCCAAATCTAGTTACAAACAACGCCTTTTGAAAAGGGGGACGAGGCACAATGGTCACCTTGGATGATTTCGATGTTCCAACTGAAGGCTTCTTTCGTCGTCTTGGTCCCACTGTAGTGTAGCCTTCGTTGTCGGTCACCAATGGCATAGAAGTCTGTTGAAGATATTTCACACTACACGTGGCACGGTCTTCGTCGTTTCCTCTGCTGTCAGAACTTTGCTTCGTCGACACAGGATCCATGCTGGCGACGTCCCGAGTTGGGCCTTCCCCATTCAGTCTCAAATTCGTTGTTTTGTGTGCGACCTGATTCCGTCCCGATGATGCGACAGCGCTGTAGCTTAAGCTCGGGTGGTTCAGGTCAGGCCCTAGATTGGAAAGTTGCTTCCGTAACTCGGTGACTTCGGAACGTAGATGGTTATTATCCGCTTTTAGGCATTTCATTTCGGCGATAAGCACGTCTAACTTGACGTTTATCTTTTGCAGTAAAGATTCCTGGTACTTCGGCGAGCATGAGGTGTTTAACTTCAGGGTGGTTTCACTGGCTGATTCGCTGTCCGTTTCAGACCCCGACACGTCTGACGTTTCTTCACGATTAGGCTTATCGTCACTGCGGTTCCGCCGGGTGCAGGCGTTGCATTTGTACGAGCTTTTTCCTGAGGCCATGAAAATGTTATACTCCTCAAGGCCTACTCTAATACAATCGCAGTGGAATTTTGCCTTGCATCCACCCGAACACGCGAGGAATTGACGCTTACCAGCAATTTTTTCGGAGCAGCTTCCACACACGCCCTTCCTTGTCTCCATCTTGGAACAATAGAAGACGGGCCAGTGACTGGCCGCTGGCCAGTCACTGGCCCGTCTTGAGCTACAAAACAATAATAAACATTACTTTCCAGAAACTAGAAAAGTAAGAGATGTGTTTATTGCTTATGCACGCTACGAGAGGTACATAAATCTCCGGAGGGATCATTTTATTGGTGATTTTAATCTAGTGTGAAAATATGCAATTTAGGGCAGGAATCGACTGTTTTATGTAGTAGTTACGATCATCTAAGAGAAATATTTTAAATGTTCACATAGCCAAGCTTTTTTCTTTTGTAAAAAAAGCGGGAAACACCAATGCGTTGTGGATGTACACACTGCTGGGTTTGTGAATGTGACCCTTTGACACTACGAAAAATAAATGTCACAATGCCGAACGATAGCATTTCTGAAAGTCAGTTTGATTATCCGCGCTGTACTTGAATCTCAGGAATAAAAAAGTGTTTAGGCCTAACAATAAGTAAAACTGTGGAGCGCAACCTGTATAAGTAAGGCCTGGCGGCACGCGAAGGATAGCTCTGATCTACCAGAACAAAATAAATACTACTTTCCGGAAGTCAGAAAATTAAGAGATGTGCTTATGAGCTATGAGCTCAACCAAATTACTGCCTTAAAATGGCGGTATTTTTGTTTCAATAGTGGGTGAAGATGGACCGCTTTCATGACAAACTTTGGCTTCATCACTGTGGCAGTTTTACCACTTACATTTTTTCATTTCGCTCTAAATGTACCCATTATTATTAATTTTATTTCTTCGTTGAAACGACTTGCGCTGTTTGCCTACTACACTGACCCACCTATTAGCACGGAGGGAGCGAATCATCCCGGCAAAACAATAGGGCCAGCTATCGATGAAACTAGACATTACAATGAATAGATGTTTTCCAAGTATTTCCCCGATGCATGGTAGGATTGAAATAGGGCGATAGCATTCGTGCTTACCTGCCATTCCTCCCTTAAAAATCGGTTTAACCAGCGCCGTTTTCAGATCCGTAGGTATGACACCGGACAATAAGAAACTATTTATCATGCATACTAGGACCTCTTTGATAGCGTCAAAGTTTCGACACAAATCGCCAACACGGATGTTATCGAATCCAGGCGCCTTGTTTCTTTTTATACGAAACACAATGGAGTGCAACGCGCAAAGGTCAAGAGACGGCAAAAATGCAGAGGCAGCCACTCTGAAATCATTACTCAAGTTGGCTGACACATAACCATCGTCTCTTGCAGTACCTGACGAAGCCGAAAAAAACTTGTTGAAATCATTTAAAACTGATTGCAAATCCATTCCAAAGTGCCTCCGCAAAGTGTCGATGACTGGCTGTTTCGATGCGCGTCCTCTGAATTCGTTAATAAGGTCCCATGTTTCTCGCGCATTGGACCTTGTTTCAAAAAACTTTTTCCGAAAATAACGTCGTTTTGCAGACCTGATAAGCGCGTTTACTCTGTTCCTTGCACACGTAAATTCTGCCCTTAAATTTGTGTTCTTTGGCGCACGTCGAGAACGCACCCAGAAGGCTTCCTTGGTTTTAATGGCTGCCATAATGTCAGTATTAAACCAAGGCTTGTATGACCTGTGCCTGAAAGTGACCTCTTTTTTTGAATCAGTGTAAAATGACTGCCAAGTCATTTTACGCAACAAACGGCAGGAACCCAGCCCAGTCAAACGCAGCGACCAACGCATCAAATTTTACCGTATCTGTAATTGTAATAATAATAATAATAACAATAATAATAATAATCAATCAATCAATGTTTATTAGAGTGTCCAGGAACAACCTCGCGGTTTTGGTGCTAGCACACTTATAACTACAAATTAACAAATACACAAGAAACACAATTTTATACAAGACCCAACAAATGCAGAAGGGTAACAAAGATTGGAATTCCGCTGGTGAGAATCATCTGTTCGAAGGAAAGTTAAAGCGGGAAAAGTTAATGCGAAGCAGCGAGACATCTGCAACGCACACATATTGGAAAAACAATAAATTTCACACCGTCGAATATTCAGCACTTTTCACTCCTGCTCAAACCTTGAACACGTTAGCAATAAATTGATTGAAAGCCGAATAGCACGAGTCAATTATATCAAGTACTTCCGAGTGACGATTATAACATTCAGCCAACCTGAGGATTGGGACTAGCTCATTAAAAGCTCGAGAGGTATAAAAAGATGATTGAAGACGTGTACGTACGCGTGGAACTCTAAGACTTACTTGAGACAAGAGGTATGGTGAATCAATTAGGCCGTGCGTGACCTTAAACAGAAACAACAAATCAGCTTTCTCCCGACGCCGGTGCAGGCTGAGAAATTTAAAAAGTTTTAGCGCATCTTCATAATTCTTACCAGGTACATCCTCTTTAAAATAGCGATGCTTCATGATAGAAATAAACTTCTTTTGAACTCGCTCAATCCCCACAGAATTGGTTTGGGAAATTCCATTCCACACAACTGAGGCGTACCCCAGCTGTGACCTAACTAATGAACAGTACAATGTGAGAAATGCAGGCGCGTTTTCGAACTCTTTCATAACACGACATGCGGCACCCGAGATGA